CACATGCCCAACCTCTGGGGTCAAGCTCCACCCCCATCCTAATGGGATTCGCTGCTCCTGCTTCCCTGCCCGCCCCCCGGCAAAATTTTAAAAGGGCCTGTTTCTGAACACGTGGCTCTCTCGGCTTCTCTCCCCTCTCCTCTCTTGCTCGCTCTGTTCCCTCTGTGCTCTCTGCTCTCTCTCTGCTCTCTCTTCTCTCCTCGCTAGCTCCTCTCCTCTCTCTCTCTCCCTCTCTTACACCCTCCTTCTCTCTTTCCTTCTTCGCCCCTTCCCTCCAGTCTGCTGGGTTCTCCCCAATAAATCCTTTCCCTTACTCCAGTGTCTGGTGTGTTTTGTGGCAGCCTTACAGTGTCCCAAGCGGCAACTTAACCAACAGCGCCAGGATGCTGGCCCCTCTCGCATCATCATTGCCATCATTATTGTTATTGTTTTTATTGCTGCTAAACAGCTGCAATTTTGTGCTTAGAAAGTCTACTTGTTGTTGTTGCCTACGTGAGAATGCAGGAAACATCGTCACATTCCAGGAGCCGAGGGCCAGGCGCTGCCCACGCTGGGCCACCAGCCCTGAAGAGTGCTGGCCCCCACAGCGATCTGCTTTTGTTCTTCCCTAAGGCAAAGCCCTGAGGTCCTTCTTGATGTTTCCCAAATTTCAGCAGAGAGAAAGTCGCCTGGGTCCCGAGCCTGCCGTGGGCGTGGAGGGAGAGGGAGCAGGAGCGCCTGCTGCCTCCCGCGTCCCCCCCTCCCCCCTGCAGGTCACCTCCCTGTATTTCTTCCCCTCTCACCTTCCACCGTCATCGCTGTCACTTAACCCACGGACCCTGAGCGCTGCTTAGGGACACTGGAATCCGTGGGGAAGCACAGAAGAGGAACACTGGAATCCGTGGGGAAGCACAGAAGAGGAACACTGGAATCCGTGGGGAAGCACGGGGGGCGTTGCTGGGACAGGGAGAAGCCTCTGATTTGCTTTCAGCTCATTGCCCTGGAGCCATTACAGGAGGAATTCTTCAAAGCTGGGCTCTGTCCTTTCTAAAACCGTGGTGTGCATTTCATTTATGCAAGGCGCTTCCCCTCCCCCATTCCCTTAATGACTGTTGATGAGCTCCTATTGTAGTGGCCGCTGTGTGTGTGTGTGTGTGTGTGTGCAGACATGGGGTGTGTTTCCAGCTGCCTGTGCTCTGAGAGGCATGTTAGGAGACAGGTTAGGACGGCAGGTGTGTCCGGAGGTAAAAGGGGGTTGGGAATGTCCCCTCCAAGGGGCTGTAGCCCATATCCGAGTGCCTGGGGGACGGCCTATCTCCACTTTAGCTTCCAGCTTCCTGCTAAATGCGCGCCCTGGGAGGCAGCAGGCGGTGGCTCAAGGACTTGGGCCCCTGCCACCCATGGGAGACCCAGATTGAATTCCAGGCTCCTGGCTTTGGGCTTGGCACAGCCCTGGCTGTTGGGGCCATTGGGGGACTGAACCAGCAGGTGAAAGATCTCTCTCCATCTCCTCTCTCTCTCTCTCTCTTCACTCTGTTATTCAAATAAATAATTTTTTTTAAATTTCTAA